CCCCCTCTCTCTCTCTCTCTCCGCCTCGCCCTCCCTATTTCTCTGCCTCTCTCTGCTTTATTTTTTATTCTCTTGCAATAATATCTACAGGTTTTCATAATTTTCTGTCTTTCCTCTTCACCTTATTTTGCTGTCCCCACTCCCCTCCGTTCCCGAACTCTTTCTCCCTGAATTACTATCTCTGTCTCTCTCTTTCTGTCTTACATTCTCTCTTTCTGTCTGTCCTTCTATATCGCTCCTTTCTTTGGACCGTTATCTGTTTCACTTTAGATTGCTCCCCCCCCCCTCTCTACCTCCCTCTCTCCCCCACCCAATCTTCCTCGCCCACATAACTCCTCCCGTTTACTCTTCGAGGAATACAATAAAAGCTTTAGTTACGTGAACAGAATAAATTACCAAAAAGAATTTCCCCCAAAAAGGTGGCTTTGAAATGTGACGTAGGATCTACCAGTGGCACTCTCTAACTACTCGTAAACATCAACTTCAACCGTTGAACCCAGAATCAAACCTGGAACTAAACCGTCTCACAATGCGTCCACCACGTCTTTGCTTCAGACAAGACAACCATACATACTATAAAACATCCCTTGCGTCTTCTTCTTCTTCGATATATTTTTGTTTATTTGTATGAGTAAAGAAAAACACACCCAAAAAATAACGACAATTTACTAGATGTTTAAAAAAGAAAAGTAAGAAAGATGACCCCCACCCCTCCAACTTAAAGCAAACGGGGGTGGGGGGGGGGGTTCAACAGAAAGAAGTAGGAACAACCAGTAGCGCTCCCCAAACACCGTTTCTCATTGATAGATAGGTTATAAAAACCCAGTGAACTAAAAGAAGTACGATCTAGTAGTGGCGCCTTCCAACCACCCACACTCATCAGCGCTCTCCCCCGTTCTTCTTCTTTATCACGTTCGTCTTTTTTCTGATCTTCCTCTCCTCCTTCAACTCAAACGTCAGCTCTGCCATTACGATCTTTCGTCTCTCGCAGCCCCTCCGATCTCGCGGGAGTCTCTCGAGGTACTTTTAAGTCTCTCCGCGCCCGCACACACACACACACACACACACACACACACACACACACACACACACACACCAGCCTCCAATCAGTAACTACACCCCACCAACCCCATCCCATATTCACTTCCCTGACCATAGTAGGATCTTTCTCTCTCTCTCTCTCTCTCTCTCTCTCTCGCTCTCTTTCTGATTATACACAAATCTCCCCCTGCCCCGCTTCCCCCTCCCATCTTTTCCTGTTTCAGGGCTCAGTTCAACACAAGCCCAATCAGGGGTGGCGAGAAAGCGATATACACAAAGAAAGCACTTTATTCCATGCAGAAGTGGAGGGTGGACACTTCCGTAGAGAGAAGAGAGAAAGCGAGAGGAGGAGAGAAAGTTAGATTGAGGGGGAGTGTGAGGGAGAAAAAAAAAAAAGAAGAGAGAGAGAGAGAGAGAGAGAGAGAGAGAGAGAGAGAGAGAGAGAGAGAGCGCGAGAGAGCAAGCATCAACGACAAAAATATTTCAAACCCTCCACCGCCATCACCATCACAAAACCATCAACATATCCACCTCCCAACAGAACCCTCGACAAAATACAGCCACCCCAAAAAAAGAAAAAACCCTACAAAAACACAAAAACAACAACTACAAACAAGCAGCCTTCTACCAAACAAAAAACAACAACAAAAACCAAACACATACAACAAACAAACACACACAAACAAACAAACAAACAAACACACACACACACACACAAGCACAAGCACAAACCACCAGCACTGCACACAAGAAAAGACAAATTATAATACAGTACTCACATCTCCCCACCGCCCCACGGCGTCATTGATGTCGTTCCGGCCCAGCGACAGGTCCACAATGCACTTGTTCACCGCCTTGCTGCTCCGCTCCGGGGTCAGGTCCTCCTCGGCGATTCGAACCCAGCCCAAGGAGCGCACGGAGAAGCGGGCACAGCGCTCGGAGCTACCCTCCTTCTGACTCGCCTGACGGGACGAGCTGGGGAAAGGGAAGTTTGCTTTACGTCCCAGTAACAATTTTACGGCACTTTCAACACAAATAAGTCATATAAGTGGCGAAGATAACGATAGGAAGTCTTTTAGTTTTAGTAGAGGTTTTACGGCGCTCCCAACTGCATAAGGCCATACGAGCGCCAGAAGATTAGAGGTGTAACCAAGAGAGTAACAAACACAAACAAGAAGTCTGGAGTGTAACATGCAAAGAAAAAGAGGAGGGATAAGGACAATAAATGTTTGAAAGGAATTAAGAAGCAAACCCCACCAGAGATCTGCCAACTACGATAAGGAAGAGAGGGAAAATGGAAGATAAACTAGTAAAATTTCTGTGGTTCAAAAAGACAATAGCTGAAATATATAAATATTACGGAGCATCACTGTACCCCTACCGAATAAAAATCTAAACACATTAAAGGTCGTTTAGCGCTGGAGAAGAGTAAGGCTGACAGACAGATAGACTCAACGGAAGGGAAAATAAAAATAGAAACTACCACTGGCGCCCTCCAACCACCCGCATTGAAAGAGACCCCCCCCCCCCCGCATTCACCCCCTAAAAAAACAAAAACAACTCCACCTACAACCCCCCCCCCCTCACACACAAAATCTACTAGTAGAGAGAGACATACCGGTACAACAACGGCCATTTAGTGCTTGGAACAAATATCGAAAGACAGGCTAACACAACAGTATCAGACGAAAAAACAACAATCAACAACCAAAAAGTAGCGGGCCTCCAAACACCCGCACACGACGACAAGACCTACGGCGGTATTGATAAAACGACATTCATATTAAAAACAACAAAAAGTCAAAGACCGACTGGCGTACTCACAGGGACTGGAGGCTCTTGGCGGCGTACTGCAGGGCGTGACCTTCGAACTCTGCCAGGTGGCGCTCTGTGCTGGAACCCACGCTGCCCGGAGTGGACGGGATGGACGCACTGGAGCTTGACCCCTGAAGGACGAGATAAGGTCATACGGTCAAGGTCAGGTTGTAAATGTCACAGATAGTATTTACAAGCCACATATTTTAGAATGAAATAAAATGATTGTTTATTTATTGGTTAGCCCACTCCTTCAGAAAGCATTGCCTGCCCATACCACCACATCCCCGGATTTCCACATTTAGTTTGGTTAAAAAGAAGTGAATTGACACTGTAACGGTTATCTCCTGCAGGGAAAACAGTAATTGTTTGTTTGTTTATTTGTTCGGGGAAAAAAATAACCACATCGACACAATAGTGGTCGTTTAATCCTGGGAAAAGTAAGACAGACGTACAGACAGAAACAAAAGAGGAAAAGTTTAAAAAAAGTAGGGCCTAATAGTGGCACCTTCCAACCCCCCGCAAAAACAGAAAGACAGAGAGGCAGAAACAAAAAGGGGAAAGAAAGTAGTAGGATCAATCAGCCTCATCCTAAGCATTAAACAGAATTATTGAAGGTCGGCGTTGACATCAAACAATACATGTGGGTAAGTGTATAAGAAACAGTTTTATCTATAACAAAGCGGAGGTTGTCATTTTCGCTACAGGCAGCCGTGCTCATTTTCAAAAATTGTTTTAATGTAGGAGTTTTTACGCCTTCATCTAGACAGTTCATATCATTTAGAAGGCGGGCTTTTATTCTGCCTGTTGGGGTCGATCTGGGCTGAGAGGGATACAACGACCAAGCAGACAGACCGATATACTTGATAAAAATTCTTCCCACGCGGAAATCGAAGTCTTGTCTCCAGCATGCAAAGGCGAGACACCGAATCGCTATACAGCAGACGCCGGTGTTAAGAAGTTTGACACAAATAAAGGAACGCGCAAGACCCAACCCCCCCCCAAAAAAAAACAAAAAACAAAAAAAACAAAAACAAAACACAAAACAACAACAACAACAAAAACCACAAAAAACCACCAAAAAACCCACAAAGCATTATAAGACCAAGCTGCACAATTCAGCTAACGTTCTTTCATCAAAATCCTGAAATGAATGTAAGGCAACCGATACGGGGTGAAGATGGCGGGGTCGGGGGGCGCATATCAATCATGTATACGCTCCTCCAGTATAGATGAAGAAAGATATTCCCCCGAGTTCTAGAACTGAGGGAATAGGAAGGAAAATAAAAGTGGGGAGTGGGCGGCTAAGGGAGTGAGAATGGGGGATAGGGAAGAAAATAGGGAAGTGGGGGGGGGGGGGTTGAACTCGATAATAAGCAAAGATAAGAAGATACAAGATAAGATACACCCGGCCCTTTTAGCCCAATCCTACTTTATCCCCTCGTAAACAGCAACTGCATATAAAAATGGGTCTGGTTCGATAGAAGGGACGTCCTGGACCTTTTTACTTCCTCAAACAGGAGAAGAAAAAAACCCGCGCTGGATCTCACAAAAGCGAGGACAAGACAAGGCGACATTTTTGCAGCATGCAGAGCTTAGCTCAGCCCGGTTCAGCTATTCTTTTGTTTTGTTTTTGTTTCAGTAAAGAATTTTACTCCATTCGCAGCAAATAAAGGCTGTGTAAGTGTCTAAAATTAGAGGTGTTACCAAAAATTAACTTGCACAGTAAAGAAAAAGAAATAAGGACGATATATGTTGCTGGAAAGGAATAGAAGGAGCACATCAAATCAGAGCACTCGCAAACAAACCCCTCCCTATGATAAGACGAGGAGGCATTTCAGCGGGATTTAGAGCTTAGCTCAGCCAGAGGTCGGAGCCTCACAAGAACTGGCACAGTTTGAGGACACATCAGCAGATAGACACGACACTGGACATTAAGTACAGGGGAAAACAGCAAGACAGAAAAAAGAGATGAACGGGTTCAGGACGGGGGGCAAGGACCTTTATCTTCCAGTGTCCCCCTCAAACTACTCACACGTCGAGAGCTGGGGGAAAAAAGTTCATTTAGGACAGAAAACGTAGCACAAGGAAGCGCAAATCAAGTGCCGATGTTTTTTCCCCCTCACTTTTCTTTTTTAAGTTTAAATAAAAATTAACCTACCAGGAACTGCAGAAAGAGACGACTTGACTGGCATGAAAAAGAAGAATGCTTATTGAGACAAGGAGGCAGGAAGGAGGAGGAGGAGAGACGGGGAAGAGAAACCCACAAAAAGAACAAAGAGAGAGAGAGAGAGAGCGAGAGAGCGAGAGAGAGAGAGAGAGAGAGGGAGAGAGAGAGA